TGGGCCAGCTTTAGCTCTGAGGCCTCGCTGCTGAAAGCAGGTTTCTGGCCTTTACCTTCTGTATTTGATACAATGTTGCGGTCCGGCTGGCTGAAGCCCGGCTGACTGAAAGCCGGTTTCTGGGGTTTTGTTTAGCTTCTATATTTGCAACATAGTTGCTTAGAGTTGCAGCTGAGAGGCCGGCAAGTCAGGCAGGGAACGTTGGAGTCCACAGTCACTGGAGCAAGCAAGCCTCCCTGTTTGCTTCAGTGCATGGCTGCCGGCCGCCATCTTGGCTGACAGTTCATTTGCATAAGGATATGCTGATTAGCCAATGGGAAGGGTAGCGGAGTGACACCAATTTGCATGTTTCTCTTTTATTAGTGTAGATAAACTCTGTTTCATGTACTCATAACTGTAAACCTACTTTTACTCCAACCTGTATATATTCCTAGGTATTCAAAGCAGAATCTTAAGAGATATTTACACATCCATGTTCATGGCAGCATTATTCACAATTGCCAAGAGGCGAAAGCAACCCAATATCCATTGACAGGTGAATAGATAAAGAATGTGATATATACATACAATGGAATATTATGCTGCCTCAAAAAGTCTAGTCACATGCTATTACATGAATAAACCTTGAGGACATTATGCAAAGCAAAATAAGCAGTCACATACAAATACTGTATGATTCTAGTCATATGGAGTACCTAAAGTAGTCAAAATCATAAAAACAGAAAGTAAAAACATGGCTGCTAAGGAAGGAGTGCCAGAATCAGTGTTTAATGGATCTAGAGTTTCAGTTTTATAAGACAAGAAAATTCTAGAGATCCGTTACAACAATGTGAATTTACTTAACATTACTGAATTATACACTTAAAAATGAGTGAGATGGTAGTCCAGCTGGTGTGGCTCAGTGGTTGAGCATTGAGCTATGAACCAGGAGGTCAAGGTTAGATTCCTGGTCAGGGCACATGCCCAGGTTTTGGGCTCAGTACCCAGTAGGGTATGTGTGGGAGGCAAACGATCAATGATTCTCCCTCATCATTGATGCTTCTTTCTCTGAAATCAATTTTAATACATATATATTATTATTATATATGTATAAATGGTTAATATAATAAATTTATTATTATGTTTTTATCACAATAAAGAATATTTAATTATATAGAACATATTCCTGATATATTAAGTGAAAAGATAAATTTATCAACAGTATAGCATAATCCCTTATAAAATACGTAATTCCCTGTAAACCTTATAAAATATGGAAGGGTTTCATGCCCTAACATCAACTGTATTAACACTGTGGTTTAGGGCTATAGGTCTTCACTACTTTATTTCTACTGTAGTTTGTAAGTTGATTTATAAAAACATTTAAGAAGATTATGAGAGGCCCCCAAAACACCACATTGGTCTTAAATAGAGAGATATTAGTGCCTTCTTTATTGCCATTTTATTTTTTTTTAAATCCTCACCCAAGGATATGACATGTTTTTATTGATTTTAGAGAGAGAGGAACGGAGAGACAGAGAGAGCAAGAGAAACATCTATGTGTGAGAGAGAGACATCAATCAGTTACCTCCCCTATGTGCCCTGACTAACTGGAGATCAAACCCACAACCTAGGTATGTGCCCTGCCCAGGAATTGAACCCACAACCTTTTGGTTTATGGGATAATGCTTTAACCAACTGAGCAACCTGGTCAGGGTTTAAAGACACCCTTCAACTATGTAGATCTGGCCAAAAGAGAATGTGAGTACTGAAAATTTGAAAAAATCATTGGGGATGACTGAATTTTGAATAGCAGCTTCAGCACATAGGCTCCATTGCAGAGCAGATGTGCCCCGTGCAGCTGTTAAGGATGAACTGTTGAAATTATGGTAGTATTTGTCTAGTGTGTTTGCTCATAATGAAACCAAGGAAACTGAGATTTGGAGAAAGCTAACCGATTTTTTTTAACTGTCTAGCCATCTCATAAAATTAGCCCAAAAAGCACCTACTGCTAATCTGGAGGATGTTTTGCCACTCGCTGAGGATGTTACCACAATCCTCTCCAAGTGCTGTGGGTCTACCTCTGAGGACTGCATGGCCAAGGAGGTAAGAGAATCCCCATTGTCATCGTTGTTGTTGTCGTCATCATCATCATCATGTGCCACACACTAAGTGGCAAGCACTCCTCTAAGCTGGTTTTCACATGTATCATCTCAATGATACCTACATATATCCTATGAAACTTAAATACATTAAATCCACTTTACAGATGAGAAAACAGAATAGTAGTCAGGGTCAATAATTAAAGTCACACAGCTGGTAAGTAGCAAAGTCCACACACAAAGACAAGGGTATCTGATTCCCAAGAACTTAGTGCACCTGCAGAGCCTGGTACCACATCACTAGCCATATATAGTTATTTAAGTTCATTATTATTGAACTAATGACATTTAAACTTCAGTTCTGCAGTCACACTAGCCCCCATTTCAAATGCTCACTAGCATTAGTACAGATACAGATAATTTTCACCATCATATAGTAAAGTTCCATTAGACAATACCACAACCATTGCACTATTAGAAATTATTATTGTTCTTATTATAACTGTCAGAATTTGATGGTCAGTTCAGTTTTTTCCACCGTTTTTCATTTGCGCAATACTTTCAAGTAGATATGAGTTTGAACAGTTATTTTAGATAAAATCACTCTCATTTATCTAAAGTCTATGGATCTCTTCAGGAACAGCACTATTGTGCTGCCTGGTCTTTTCCCATTAAGAATATGTGTCTGTGTTAATGGGTCTTTTCTATAACCTGACTTATAATGGCTAAGTCATTAATAGGTCTCTCTCTCTCTCTCTCCTTTTCTCCTTCTCAATATATCTATATAAAATATACTACATTGATCTTCTAGGTATGCTTTACTTTTATTTAACTAGTCCTCTATTATTGGGTTTAGGTGTTTTGGTCTTTTGTATTTTAAGTGACTCTGTCCTTAAGAGTCTTATAACTAAATCTTCTCTTCACCATAATTGTTTTCTGAGGATAAATTCTTGGAAGTTAAATTGTACATTTTAAGGCTTTTAGCACATAGTGACAAATTGCCCTCCAAAAATATTATACCAATTTACTTTCTAAGAGCATTCCCACTGACTTTTTTATACCCCCTGCCAATGCTGGTAAGGCTGTGTTAACCTTCCTTACTTTGGATCTACCAGAAAACTAACAATGCATAAAAATCACAATTGCTTTTGTAGCTGCCTGAACACACAGTAAAAATCTGTGACAACTTATCCACAAAGAATGATAAGTTTAGGGACTGTTGTCAAGAAAGAACACCCATGGACATATTTATGTGTGTCTACTTCACGCCAGCTACTCAGCCGCCAGAGCTGCCAGAAGTTGAGTTGCCCACAAGTAAAGATGTGTGTGGCAAGGGAAACACCAAAGCCATGGACAGGTAAGTAGAGATGACCTAATTATCTCCTTGACAGTATGGATATTCACTGGCATTAAATGACAAAGAAACTAGATGGGGAAGAAATGGTAAACCTTTACCTGGCATCACTAAGGGAAGAATTAAAATAAATACACCATGAGTTGCATATACTATGAATAGTATATGCACATTCATGGCATAAATTTCACAAGTAGGTCAAATTGCCAGAAAAACATTTATCAATATCAGCAGGCAGAATTTAGACTGCTCTGAAAATCTATACTTATCAAAATACTCATTGTTTTTATAAATGCATAGACAGCAATGGGATAAGATAATCAAAGAAATTTATGGAAATCTGTTTTCACAGAATAGCCACATAAAGTACCTACTTGATGCTTGATATAGAATTAATTGTGATATAGTTACACAAAGGACAGTTCCATATGCATTTGATGCTTTAGATAGAATTGTGTTATAGTTACACATGGACAATTCCATATGCATTTGAAGTAAATATATAATGTAGTATGTGACTATAGATATAGTACAGACAGAGCTTTAGTTCAGTATTAACTAGTCACAATAACTTTAAAGCAACTATTAATAACTTGTATTTCAATAAGAATATTGTTTTGAATCCTAAACTTGCTGATTTGGATTCTGTTTTAGCTAAACCTTTTATTTTTAATTAAAGATGCAGAAACCAGGTGCTCTGCCTTTGTTATAGATGCAAATTTCAAAACATGATACATATTCACAAGTATACCCATGCATGTTAAAGTGCATCTTCTTTCTCTCTCATGCCAGGTATACATTTGAACTATCTAGGAGAACTGACGTCCCAGAAGTATTTCTCAGTAAAATACTTGAGCCAACCTTCAAAAGCCTGGGAGAATGCTGTGACTCTAAAGATCCTGCAGTCTGTTTTGATGCTAAGGTGCAGTTTGCTAAATTTCTTCAACAACCCTGTCTAATTCAAGCTGTTGGCAAACTGGAGCTTATGGGCCACAGTTAGACTGTTGCCTGTTTTTGTATGGCCTGTGAGCTAAAATGGTCTTACATTTTTAATGGCTGTAAAAAAGATTAGCATTTCCTGACATTAAAATTATATGGAATTCAAATTCCAGTGTTCATACATAAACATGCTCACTGTTTATGCATTGTTTATGGCTGTTTTGTGCCATAACAGCAGAGCTGAATAGTTACAACAGAAACTATATATGGCCTACCAAGCCTAAAATTTTTATGACTGGGCCTCATACAGAAAATGTTTGCCAATGTCTGGTATAGATTAAACACTCTTACTGACATGTTACATGGAGTTCTGATTTTGCGCCTCCTGGAACAGGGTTAAGATAAACATTTTTGTGTAATTATTATTTTCTTACAGGTTCCACAGCTGAAGGCGGAACTATCTTCTTTCATTGACAAGGGACACGAACTATGTGCCGATTATTCAGAAAACACATTTACTGAGTACAAGAAAAAGTAAGGGACTAGTTCTACTTGTGTGCCCCAAATTTATCAATATGGCCTGGTATTGTAGTTTGAAAGCATATTGAAGACTCAAGATGTGCTAAATGAGCAATAAAAAGAGGAGGTTCAATTAAAATAGTTTGTTTTAAAAAGTAGTTAGAATCTATTATCTGTGTAAGAAACAGCTATTTGGGGGGAAGTGGGGGAGGAAGTTACATATATCAGCTTAGAACACAGCCAGAAATGAATAAATTACAAGATCTGTAATGACTTGATTAAGAAAACAAAATTAAGTTTGTTAACATTGTTGCCCTAAAACAATCTGTAAATTTTGCTATATATAAGAAACTATAAAACTGCTGGAAAATGTTAACTAACTTAAAACTATTTTGTCTGACAAGAGGACCCAAACTTTCAATTAAGTATAGTATTACCCATCACCAGTATGTAGTCTCTATAAATTGTAAATATACCTGTTAATCAATCATTCATAATGTACAATAGTCATTTTTCTCCATTAAGAGGAGAAGGCATTTCTTTACAAGTAGGTTTTTTACGTTAAAATAAGGAGCCATAATAATGAAAGCAGTTTTTCTGGGTTCCTGGAAAATGTCTCTGTTGAGAAGACGCTGTCATTCTGTTTCATTAAGTCAGCGGTTCTCAACCTGTGGGTCGCGACCCCTTTGGCGGTCAAATGACCTTTTCACAGGGGTCGCCTAAGACCATCCTGCATATCAGATATTTACATTATGATTCATAACAGTAGCAACATTACAGTTATGAAGTAGCAATGAAAATAATTTTATGGTTGGGTCACAACACGAGGAACTGTATTTAAAGGGCCAGAAGGTTGAGAACCACTGCATTAAGTAGATGCCTTAGATCTGTTTCACAGTATCTTGAACAACACAGGCCTCAGGTCAGCACATATAAACTCCACAAAAAGACCTTCCAAAAGAATCCCCAGAGCTGGACACCTCCTTCAATGACCCCCATGAAATCAACCTTAGCAAAGCTGTAATAGAAAACATAAAAACAGTGAAAGCCTTAGGTGCAAAATTGTTTAACATTTTATCAGAAAATTATATAATAGAATAATATGAAGATAGCATAGAATAATGTTAAACAGATAGTGCAAGATTAAGTTTTTCCCAATAGTTTTGAGCACCAGGTTTGCCAGGGGCAATTGAGTGATAATTTATATAATCTTAATTCCATATGAACATGTCCTAGAATTGAATTTAAGGTTGTGAAATTAGAGAAGATTGGGGCTATTCCATCTAAGTATTTGAAATCCTTACTTTTTTCTCCCACCCTCTGAGTTCCTTCTGGTCTCGCTTGCCTTTCCTTCCAACTGGAACCGACTCATTTCAATAATGCTTTCAGGAGCAACCTAGTCCCCTGACCCTCTTATCCCTTCCCAGCATTCACCTTGCCAAGCCCAACCCCAACTCCAACTGGAGATAAATTTGGGTCTCTTCCACCTCCCATTGCCTACTACTGGGCTGGCAAATATTCCTGGAGAAAGTCATAAAACCAGGCTGAGTGTCCACCATGAGGGTAGAGTTACCAAGATCGTAGACAGTTCAAACTGGGAAAGAATCAAGTGAATTCAAGTCCTATACCACCTTGGCAGTGAGATGGAGAGCTGGCCAATAGCAGAACTAAAAACAAGAGCCAAAGATTCCTGACCTTGTTTTCCAGTAGAGTTGGTGAGGCGAACTGAGGGGGAAATTGTTCAAAATAGGAGAGAAGAAAAAACGCATTACAGTGGCATGAATTTCTATAAGCGAAATGTCCTTGAAGGCGCTTGAAACTTAGAAGTGGAGAGAAGATGAAAGGTTAAGGAAAGCAATGACATTATCCACAATGATGTCATTGAGTGAACAAAAGGGGAAAGCTGGAATTCAAGGCAGCAGCAATTTGTATGTTTACTTTCAAGATCTTAAAAGAGGCACAGATTTTACTTTCTCATCTCAAATTGAGTCATTAAAGATAGTTCCCCAAATAGAAACATAATTTTCTTGAGAGGAGCAAGTACTTCTATTCTCATTTTTTATTGTACCAGATCTTAAATGGCTAGCTTTTGCATTAGAAACCTTTATAGAATACATCTAGTAAAACCTTACCAAAAAATGGTCTTTCAGACTGACAGAACGATTGAGAGCGAAACTGCCAGATGCCCCAGACACAGAACTGGAAGAACTGGTTAACAAGCGCTCAGATTTTGCCTCCAAGTGCTGTTCCATCAACTCCCCTCCCCTCTACTGTGACGCTGAGGTAAGAAGATTTGATAATCCATTATCCCTGCACAGTTTTTAAAGACTCGTGCACTCAGATTTACTCATTTATCTTTGTTATTGAAATGTCATTATGTCTTTTCCTGGTGCTGTGATAACTTTGTTGTATTTACAATGAAAGAAAAATGACTGCTTTCATGCTATGCTAATTCAAAAGCAAATTGAGGGAGTTGCAAAACTTAGGAAATGTTACACTTTTAAAGGAAAAAAGTGAGAATACAGACAGCAAAGTGCAGTGTTTTTCAAATTGTAGATTATAACCTATTAACAGCTTTTTTAAATGAAAGAAGAAAAAAAGAAGATAGTAGGAATATTAATCCATCTAACAGTGTGGTTAAATATTTGTGAAAATTTTATTTCATATATATGTGTATATATATGTATGTTCATATGTATGTATATAGATAGCAATTGGTAGACTGATTTAAAAAAAAAGACACAGTCAAATTGTAGATTATAACCTATTAACAGCTTTTTTAAATGAAAGAAGAAAAAAAGAAGATAGTAGGAATATTAATCCATCTAACAGTGTGGTTAAATATTTGTGAAAATTTTATTTCATATATATGTGTATATATATGTATGTTCATATGTATGTATATAGATAGCAATTGGTAGACTGATTTTAAAAAAAAGACACAGAACTGCCACTTGACCCAATGATCCCACTTCTAGGAATATATTCTAAGAATCCCAAAACATCAATCAGAAAAAATATACAGACCCCTATGTTCATCACAGCACTATTTACAATAGCTAAGATCTGGAAACAGCCCAAGAGCCTAACAGATGAGTGGATAAAAAGATGTGGTACATTTACACAATAGAATACTATACGGCAGTAAAAAAGAAGGATCTCTTACCCTTTGAGACAGCATGGAGGGACCTAGAGAGTATTATGCTAAGCCAGTGGTCGGCAAACTGCGGCTCGCGAGCCACATGTGGCTCTTTGGCCCCTTGAGTGTGGCTCTTCCACAAAATACCGACTTCTGCGCATGGGCCACGAAGTTTCAATCGCACTGTACGTGCGTGCCCGCACATGGTATTTTGTGGAAGAGCCACACTCAAGGGGCCAAAGAGCCGCATGTGGCTCGCGAGACGCAGTTTGCCGACCACTGTGCTAAGCAAAATAAACCAGAGAAAGACAAGTATCATATAATCCCACTGATATGTGAAATATGATGATCAAAATAAACTGATGAACAAAATAGATCCAGAGACACAGAAGCATGGAGCAGACTGATGAATCTCAGAGGGAAGGGGGCAGAGGGGCCAGGAAGAGATTAACGAAAGAACTTATATGCATATATGCATACCCCATGGACACAGAGAATAGTGTGGTGAAGGCCTGAGGGGAAAGTGTGGGGTGGAGAAGGTCAATGGGGGAAAAAAGGAGACATCTGTAAAACTTCCAACAATAATGATAAAAAATTTTTAAATGCAATAAATGAGAAATTTTAAAAGAAAAATCGATGCTTTCAGGAAAAATGAATCATACCATACCTTATATCTTAATTATTAATTATTTAATTTTCAATTAAATGTATTGGGGTGACATTGGTTAATAAGATCATATAGGTTTCACATGTATATTACTATGATCCATGTTCTGTACATTTCATTGTGTCCCCACCATCCAGAGTCACATCATCTTCTAGCACTATGTATTTGGCACCCTTTACCCTTTAATTTAATTTGCTTCAATGTAACACAAGGAAAAGAAATGCAATTTAATTGCTAAAGGTTACACAAATATTTCTTTACCATAAGAATTATTTTCTAAAAATTAAAAAAATATATACTAATATTAAAATGCTGGAGTCATTTTTTATTACAAGTTTTTCTTTTAGACACTACCAATTGGTTTCCAACTCTGAAAGATAAAGAAATGTGAACTCATATTTTCTAATTTCCCTCCCCACTCCTCTTAATTTGTTAGTTCTTGGGTTCATCTTTCTTTAAACATGATTTCCCTACCTCTAGCCCCCAGATCCCTCCCATTCCTGTCTCCCACCCTCCCTCACCCCCGTCTCTGAATTCTCTTTCTCCCTTACATGTAGTTGCATAATTGCCAGATCATTTATTTTTTATCTTGCGAGGCATTTTCTGTTGGAGGTGAATTATTGGATTCCTTTCACCGAACCTGAGCTTATTAGTTTCCTCCTATAAAACTAACGTGAGGTTGGTACTTGGTGTTCTAGCTTTATGTAGACTGAAGGAGTGGAGGACAGAGGAGAGCCCAGTCAGGCTGTGTGATCCATTGTTGGTGGACCTGATCTCTGATTACTCTAACGTTTTGTTACATATCTTACACTAGGATTTCCTCCACCAACTCAGTTTCTATCCTATTTCATGGGGAGATGTCTGTTAGCCTTTCTCATATGCATTAAGCCCATTTATTCGCATCATCCATTTGACCTGTAACTCTCCAGCAGTCAATTTAATTACTAGAAGAATTGAAAGATAAGAACAGCACTTTGATTCACTATACTGCTAACTTGGAGACATAGTGACAATTCCAAGAATTCTGTTGTCTCACCCATTCCATTTCTGGAGTATAGATGCAAGGCTAACATCAATATGATGCCATATCAAAATATTTTCCTCCTTTGCCTACTTCTTTTTTTAAATATATTTTTATTGATTTCAGAGAGGAAAGGAAAGAGAGAGAGAAATATCAATGATGAGACAGAATCATTGATTGTCTGCCTCCTGCAAGCCCCCCACTGGGGATTGAACCTGCAACCCGGGAATGTGCCCTTGACCAGATTCAAACCTGGGACCCTTCAGTCCACAGGCTAACACCCTACCCATTAAGCCAAACCGGCCAGGGCATGCCTACTTCTTTCTGAAGTTCATGATATTAAGTTTCATCCCTCCCCCACTCTGGTGGTGGCTGAGATTTTTTTGAGTGGGTTTTATTATTGCTTGTCATGTGTTAGATAAGTATCATTTATGATTCATTTTTTTACTCATTTTTTGCACATAAAATAATTTACCTACAATGTAAAAGCAAATACCACTTAGTCTAATTAATTAATGCCAATTAGAAGCTTTAACTGTAAGTTAAAAAATGTTTTCCCCCCAAGAAGCCATATGGATTTTTATTTATTTATTAAAACATAAAAGCAATGAAGCCTGGTTTCATTTTATTGTTCTATTATTTTTAATTCTGTTTCTCTTATTTATTGTTGTATTAGAGCACACTTAAAATACCCAAGAACCTAATTTTAAAAGTCATATAAATCTGGGAAGAAGACTATAAGAGCACCTATAATTTTTCACTCAGTAATTCCTTCTGGAGATCGTTCAACCTCCATTTAAATATCTACACTCAATTTTCTCCTTGAGATAGCCTATTTCACTGCCAGATAGCTTCTCTTATGAGAATATTATTCTGCTAATTAAGCCATGATATTCCCCTCACAATTTCTGCTGAGTCCAGTCTGGCTTTCTCTATCAACCAGAAAAAGTCTATTCTGTTCTTAATAGCAGCTTTTTTAAATATTTGAAGTGACTTTTAAAAAATTGGGCTGTATAAAGTCTGGAAGGTAGAAGTGGGTGTGGGAAGAAATCAGCCAAACAACTTGTATGCATATGGACACAGACAATAGTGTGGTGAAGGCCTGGGGCGGGGCAGGCTAGAAGGGGGCAATGGGGGGGGGCGGGGGGGGGGGGACATATATAATACTTTCAACAATAAAGATTAAAAAATAATAATAAAATAAAAGCTTGAACTATGCATACCAATTCTCTTAATAATTTAGTGATGTTTTGTTTTTCACTGATAGTGTCTAATAAAGTCTTAAAATGTCTAACAAAGTTTTAATCCGTTTGATAAATTGAGTTATATCATCTTGTTCATTTTTCTATACTCTTAGAGATTCTGATTTCTCTTCCAATTTCTACATTTATTCTCTAGTCCCAAATCTAATTACTAATCTTATTTGTAAATACTTATAAAGTCAGAATTCCAGATGAAATGAGTACAGTAGGATAAATGCCCATTCTTTAAATCTGGCTGATAAATATATATTTATCTTTTATTAAAATTCACACCAAGTAAAATTCTAAACAAACAAAATAAAACAAACCTGAAAGATCTAGAGTGTTGGGATATTTTTGTCATTATTGACATGAAAACATTTAGCATTAAACAAATTGAGCAGTTCCTTCCTTTCCTACCCGTTTGCTTTTGGTAATATAACAGGTAAATTTAGGTTGCCTTATCCCCGAAAAATAAAATCATCTTACCAGCAGAATTTGCTCTGAGGATCTAATTCAGTTATTAAAATGGGGGAAAGTCTGAATATTTTTTTTTACATTCTGTCAAATATATCACTTTTGCAACTCTTCCCCAGTCCCTGTGATTCCTAATAAATACAGTTTCCTTTTATGACATCATACAAGACAAACAGCTTTATGCACAAAATGCATGCTTCCTTCCCTCAAGCATCTTGTTTTTCATTTCTTTGAGTTGCTTTTCAGTGTATTTTTCATTGTAACATATTGTCATTTAAAAACCATTTTCAACTACAATGATGAGAAGGCAAGTGTTTAACTTTCTATTTTCTTGCTTGAGGAACCAGTACATTTATAGCAGTGGTACTGCTGAGTAGCCAATCTTTCAGTAACTGCTAAAGAAGGGTGAGGTGAATGGAGCAATGGACACACTTGTGCACATTTGATTACTTAGAGCGCTCAGAGGTTGGCCCTCTGCTGTTTCCATTAACCTTTTTGATAGTCTTTCTCCATTGATCTCATAGCTAGATAAGCAAGACCACCTCTGGTTTCTGACTTCATGTTCTGGTGAAATCTGGTAGATTAAAATTCTCAATGCTTAGTATGTATATTTGTCCCACTTACCCTATAACATTTGAATTGTAATTTATTATTAAATGTCCTTATCCTATATTTGCTTGACTAAATTTTCTTTTTCCTTAAAAGTAAAGCCCATTCACTCCAAGTCATATTCAGGGATACATCTCTATCTGCCATTCTAACTTTACTTGGCACAGTTACTCGAAGCATGGCAAAAGGGGCATCTGAACCACACGTGTGCTTCTTATATGATAATCTAGCCTTACCCTCACCCTGATCTTGAAATGACCAGGAAATAGAAAAACCAGTGCAATTTTCGTTTGCCTTCACCATGGAACTCTATGTTGCCATTGAGGTCCACTGACTGCAGAAAAATCTTCTGCTGCAAAATTAGACTTGAAATTATTTCTTCTCTCTCCACTATCACTCAGGCAGGGCATCCTTATGATGCTTCTGAGAACTCATTACTATGCTTCCACTAAAATGTTCCAAAGGAGTGCTAGTGGGCATCAACTATGATTTCCCAACGCATACAGAAAGCCACGCTACATGCTGGAGGTGATCATTAAAATCTTGAAAACAGAGACAAATGCAAATAGCCAAGTGGGCACTGGGCAAAGAGAACACTATCTTTTCCTCTCTCATGCCCTCCCCCCGCTCCCTCTTTCTTCCTCTCTCATATTTCAGGAAAAGCTGGCATATCCACTAGAATTTCTCTCTCGGTATATAACTAGATTTTGTGATACTCAATGTCATAGCTAGCATTTATTAAGGCAATACTATTTGATAAGCAGAATATTAATAGCCTTCCTAGGCAGAATATTAATAGCCTTATACATTTACTAGAGGCCCGGTGCATGAAATTTGTGCACGGGGAGGGGGGGGGGATGTCCCCTCAGCCCAGCCTACACCATCTCAAATCTGGGACCCCTCAGGGGATGTCTGACAGCCAGTTTAGGCATGATCCTGGGGATCGGTCCTTAACTGGCAGTTGGATATCCCTCTTACAATCCAGGACTGCTGGCTCCTAACCCCCCTGCCAGCCTGGTCACCCCACACAGCCTGCTGCTCATTCGTTTGGTCGGCCCTCACTGCCCCCCCTGCCAGCCTGGTCACCCCACACAGCCTTCTGCTCAGTCATTTGGTTGGCCCTCACTGCCCCCCCTGCCAGCCTGGTCGCCCCATGCAGCCCACTGCTCAGTCATTTGGATGGCCCTCACTAACTCCCCTGCCAGCCTGGTCACCTCACACAGCCTGCTGCTCAGTCGTTTGGTCGTCCCTCACTAACCCCCCTGCTAGCCTGGTTGCCCCATGCAGCCTGTTTGGTCATCCGTTCAGTTGTTTCAGATGTGATGGCCCCTGGCTCTTTATATATATAGATGATGTTTATAGAATAATCGAAAACAATTCTAAATATTAGGTACCATTTTCATTCCCCTTTTACAGATGGGTTGAATGATATATACAAGATAGCAATATGTTTGAAAAATCATAAGTGTGTTCCACATGAGTCTGTTATTCTCCATGTCATTGTCAGATTTCAGCCCTAGTTTAATAACAAAAGCATAATATTGATATAGAAAGCCTATTAACTATTGATTAAAGTGCAAAATTATTTTTTATTGTTAAAAATATCAAAAATGACCCAGGTCAGTAGTATCACTGAATTCCATTATCATATTCTACATTTTATCCTATGATTCTTTGATTTTCATTCTGTGTCATATCATCCTCTTCTGCTACCCACACCTTAAATTTATATGTTTTCCAGAGAATTTTTTCTCATGGTCTTCTTCTCTATACATGACATTACATTTTCTCCAAGTGTTCTCATCCATGAACATGCCTTTAATCTCCAAATCTCTACGTCCAGTCAGGATCTCTCCCCGCAGTACCAAGCTGCTTATTCAAATGATTAAGGGCTCTATTATCCCATAAGAAATTGAAACTCAATATGTCCCAAATATTCCCCTTAAAACCTCTTCTGGTATTGCCTAAATTTATTACTATCATTATCATTATTGTAATAAATTAAGATATAAATAGTGATACTTAATTTCTCCTTTTTCCATATACTAGTAAACCCAAATATATTCCAAATCCTACCAATTTTAACTCACTATCTCTAAGTCCCACCTCCCAACTTCTCCTACATTATTGATACTTTTACCTGGATTATCTCTTCCCAATTGGTCTCTCATCTCCAGTCCTCCACATGCCTCACACCAATCCCATCTCTGTACTAAGGCAAAATAACCTTTGTAAAACACAAAACAGTTAGTACGTTCCTCTAATTGCTCTACATCACTTCTAAATTGAAGTCCATTCTTTTTTTAAAAATCAAGAGAGTTTTGGTCCTGTGTTTTCCTCTCCAGCCTGATTTATCACTGCTCCTATTCTTCCTGCTTTGGTTTTGCTATACCACTTGCAGTTTTCCTAAGTACATCAAACTTGCTCTTACCTAAGGCTTTTGCACATGAAGACTCATCCTGTATTGCCCTATCTTCATTCTATAACCTGGCTGTCTTTCATCAAGATTCAGGATTCAACCTAGATCTTTCCTCTGGGAATCCTTGCCTGGCACTCAAATTCTTCTGTTGCCCCTTAACATTCTGTTCACACCTAATAATTAGCACTTATTTTTCTCTTGTCTATTTTTCACAGGACACTGTAAATTCTTCAAGGATAGAGACAGTGTAAAAAGTTCAATATAAAACTTCATTTTAACAAGAATCCTTTCTAATCAAGGTTTAAATTGTGTTTACTTCATGATTTAGTAGTCTACAAATAAAATGCTTCATGAATAATTAGATAGCATTTTTTTTTCATTCCAGATTGATGCTGAAATGAAAAATACCCTACAGGGCTGATGAATATATATTATCTTAGGTAAGTATTGCTTGTAAAGGCAGAAAAAAACAAAAAACAAAACAAAAAACTATCCAGTTTTGTGCAATGTATTTTAAAAATCATAGAATAAATAATCCAATAGTGTTCTTCCCATTCTAACTATTCTCTATTCAAACTCATTTTACAGTGAGAATATTAAGCATCTGGAAAAGTTAAGGAGCTTACACAAGTATACACAAACAACTTCTGGCAGATTTAGGACTAGAATCTGGGTCCCCAGTCTGGTACTAGATCCTATATAATAAAAGCCTAATGTACTAGATCCTATATAATAAAAGCTTAATATACTAAGAGTCTGTCTGGTCGTGCGGTCGTCTGGTCGTCCATTCAACCAATCAAAGCATAATATGTTAATGATATGCTAAGGCCACCCAACCGCTCACTATGATGTGCACTGACCAACAGGGGGCAGACGCTCTGACCGGTAGGTTAGCTTGCTGCTGGGGTCTGGCAGATCAGGACTGAGCGAGATGGGCCGGACATGCCCTGGAGCCTTCCCACAGTCCCTCCCACGATCCCTCCCTGGATGGCCTACCTCCTGCGTCCCTTCCCCAACCGGTGGGGTCCCTTGGTCCGGCCTGTACCCTCTCCAATCATGCACCGGTGGGGTCCCTTGGTCTGGCCTGTACCCTCCCTCAATCCAGGACCCCTCAGGGAATGTCAGAGAGCCAGTTTCAGCCCAATCCCGCAGGCCAGGCTGAGGGAACCCCACTAGGCACGAATTCATGCACTGGGTCTCTAGTCCACCATAACCTCACATCTAAGATAATGACAGCATGGAGATCATTTCAGGCATTTTGATGCATTCAATAGAAAAATATATAAATTTAAAGACAGAGTCCACCAAGTGTTAAAGATAGCACAGTAGTTCTTAGGATGAAAGAAGATTCTGCAAATTAAAGCAATATTGTTAAAATATTATCACTTGCTTTTTTTCAGATATTACATTTCACCCATTTAAAAATACCTGGAGATATTAAGAGTATAAAGTAGCTTAGACAGACTCTCATACCTTAAACTGATGATTATCTCAACTCTGCACATTTCAACAAAAATGTTTTCTCTCCAAATGCCACTGTATTCATTTTAAATATATTACTTCTGAGATTTAAAAAATTATAAAATTAATGGTTTTGGTTTATCTCAGATCTTAAGTGAGCTGAGCCTTTTCAATGATGCATACGTACTTTTATTTTGCTGATTTACTGACGACATTCTCCAAAATTATATAGAAGCAAAAGCTCTTGACTAGTGAAATTAAATCATTCCATCATATTCAGGTTTTCAACTCTCAACTATGTGAATTACCTGAAAGAGTGAAAAAGCAAATTAACACTCAGAGAGGCAGTACAATGGAGGTGGTCAAGGAACTCACTTCTGGAATTGCCCAATCTGGATCAGAGTCCCCACTCCAACTATCTATCTTTGTGAACCTGAGAAAGTTATTTAAATTCCCTGAAGCTTGTTATTTAAATTCCCTGAAGCTTGGAAATATCTACCTCTTAGAATTGTTGTAATGATTGAGTTGCTGCATATAAAATGCCTAGAAAACAGTAGCAGTAATACTAGTAAAACAGAATTTTTGGACTGGAACTCAGATTCTTTGTCTGCCAGAGTCAAAGAATGAATCCAGGGACAGAGGGTAGTATAGCAAAGGTGCAGAGTTATTGAAGAACAAGTACAGATTCCCACGTGGGGAGGGGAAAAGAGTCCCACTGACTTCCTGTTTACATGGTTTATAAAGGCTGCGGTTCCTGTGTCCTGATATCCTCTCTGATTGGTTAATATTCCATTTCGAATTGGTTACTATAGTAATTCCTGAGGCCCTCCTCCCTCATTGTCCTCCCATTCCTTCTGGGCTTTCTTCCTCCTCCTTCATTTTGTAAATAGAGACCTTGTTTGGCTACTTCCAGTTCCCTTGTCTTATGAAATGTAGCTGCACTTGGCTTCCTTGTGTTATGGAAATGTATCTTCTCCCAGTCTGTAGCCCTGTGTTTTTTCCATGGACCCCACTTCAAAACCTTCCCTAAACCTGCCTATATTCCCCTAAAATTCCTACTTCACTAGCAAAGTTTTCTCCCTGCTGCTGCTTCTATGATTTTACTCTGACTAGAACAAGTAAGATCCCCAATGCAAAAGTGGCACATGTTTAGTGTTAAGCAGTTTCTAAAACCATTTTTAGGCAGGCTAATGCTAGTTTTCCATTTGACAAAGATGCACAACAGATTCTTTTTTAAAAATTAAGTTATATAAAAGTTTCTGGACACAAAACTCCTATCCAGACCGCTAGTCAGAAAGACCAGAGTTAAAAAATACAACCCACATATAGAACAAGGCTTATGCACTGCACTCGGCAACTATCAGCCCTCTGTCCCCATCCTGCTCTCAGGAGAGAACTCTGGCTTGTGTGAGGTCTAATGCCTCACACGATCCTAAGAGGAACGCTTCTCCTCAGTTCCTAAAACCAGTAAACCGACTCTGGCTGGCTAAGTATTTCTTTTCAGTGAATGCCCAGCCCTCTGCAGAGCTTTGAACAGTTTGTAGAAGCAGAAGCCTTTGTCGCAGGTGTTCCCATTCTTAGGTTCACCTACAGTTCGATGCTATTTCATTCTTAGCTAAACTAATAGAAACTTGAGTTGTTGTCCTGACAGTTATTGACCCTCTTATTTTTTCTTCAATCCCCTAAATTGATTGTGACCACATTTGCTGGCCCACTGGACAAGAGAATTACTATCTCGCAATAAGTCCCACAAAGCCAGTTATCTTTCCCCTTCAGCTTTAGAGAGGATTAGTGTTCCCGGGGTTGCCAATGGAGAAAGAAGTCAGTTCTCACTGCACAATATGGTTGAGTGAAAACATACTCCAAGTACCAGAATCACACTCAGCACAGCCAGGTGCTCACACTATGGGAGAAATCTCACTCCAAGGCATAAACTCCATGAGAACAAGGGAAGATGGAATTTCGTGCACTGTGCAGATAGAATTGTGATACAACTCCACTGTACTGTCTTGGAGAAGGGGTAGAAGACACATTTGCCTCATTACAAAGGAGGCGATTTGATAACAACTCCCATTCTGAATATTATCTCAATCCCGGGACTGGAAGTCGGGGGGAGGGGAGGCTCATGTGCCATTCATTGGTCGCTGCCTTTTCTGCTCTGGCAGTTGAGTATTCACTCTCATAAAGCAGTAAGTTACACACATCCTTAAAGAAAAAAAAGTGCATAATGTCCCTAAGTGTACGTAATGGTTTTATATGCAGGTCTTGGGAATTTCCTACATTTTTTATTCTGGACTCCTTAGGTGGGCCATGGGGGATACATGGGTCATGCTAGACAGGTTTATCTTGAAACAGAAAGAGAACTTGACTGCTGAGCAGTGTTATATAATTGCTTCCCATTAGCTCTGTGTTTCTAACATTCATTTCCATTATTCTCATAGATCTAGAGCTGGAACCTTCCTGGAAATGCCATCTGAAGCCTAACCTAGGCCAAACCAGGGCTCTCAGGGAAGCAACTTGGTACTCACCAATTTTCATCAGCTCCAATATCTTTGTACAATAAATATGATTTGCTATCAAAATAAATTGGAATACAATGCAAACCATAAATGTTTCTGAGGGTGATGTTACAGTGCAGACCTCCAGCAATATTCCTGTGTGTGCCATGCCGGCACAGCCATGGGTGAACCTGAGACGGGGCAGTGAAGGATGGAGCAGACAGACAAGAGAATAAAGCTGGGGCTAGGTGGGACGCTGCCCTCTCTGATGGAGAGACAGTGCCACAGTCTGCAAACCGAGTCTTTATTTTATAGCCAGACTAGTGGCCTGGTGCACGAAATTCGTGCATGGAGTGAGGGGGGGGGGCCCTCAGCCCAGCCTGCACCCTCTCCAATCAGGGACCCCTTGGGGGATGTCCGACTGCCAGTTTAGGCCCAATCCCACAGGCAGTTGGACATCCCTCTCACAATCTGGGACCGCTGGCTCCTAAACGCTCACCTGCCTGATTACCTCTAACTGCCTCTGCCTGCCTGCCTGATCGCCCCCAACTGCTCTCCCCTGCCAGCCTGATCTTGACCCCAACTGCCCGCCTCTGCCGGCCAATTTGATTCTGATTGGTCAGTTTATATGCCAGTCAGCGTCAAAAGCTCTTCCTCCTAGGCAGCCATTGGCTCCTCACAGTTGACCCAGATTTGGTTCTTTTGGGGGTGGGGTGGGGGGGGGCTGTTTATTAAGTGGTTATTACAGGGGTCAGACCACATAAGTGCTGTCAGCCCTGGGAATGCGACCTCTCAATGTTGATCACAAAGCCCCCAAGGCTGGTCCTGGTGAGCCCCAAGGTCAGAAATGAAACTGAAAGGCCTTGGTCACATGCTGTTTCCAGGCGTCCAGTCTGGGCAGCAGGGAGGAGATGCCCATGACATGCCAGGTCTCCCCATCGGACACCACCGAGGTCTGGTAGGACAGCAGCTGCATGGCTGCCTCTGCCAGGAGCCCAATCATGGTAGGCAGTATGGCAGGGTTGGAAGAGGCACTTCTGGTCTGAAGGCAGCTCCACTGAGTGCCTGCAGCACAGGTGTGGTGCCCTGGACAAAGCCCACAGCCTCGTAGGGGGCACCTGCCAGGGCCACGCTCAGGAGGCCTTCCCTGCATCCTTGCTCTCCTAGCACAGTGGGGTTATGGGAGGTGGTTACATTGAGGCTGGCCTCCTTCACCAGCAGCTTAGCATTTACCAAGTTCACATCCGCATGATTAGAAGCGTCTTTGAGGAGGTCGACAATGACTTGGGGGCTCAGGCAGTTCCCGGCATGCTTCAGGGATAAGCCCTGCGTTACCACCTGGATGGTCCCTTTGGGGGACCCTGCCCAGGCTCGCATCAGGGTCCCCAGAGCTTCTGACAGACCGATCCAAGGTTTGGTGTGTGGAGATAAAGCGCTGGTAAGGGCCTGGGCATTCATGACCCCTGCAAGGGTTCTGCCCTTCACCATGTCCATGAACTGGACCGCGATCTCCTCCCCTCAGAGGCTCTGAGCCTCCTTGGTGCTGGTGCCCAGGTAGGGGCAGCTGATGACGTTCTCCTGGTCCACCAAGGCACGGTCCCGAGGCAGCTCCTCCATGAACACATCCAGCTCTGCGCCCCGCACTGCCCCAACTGCAGGGCCCAGAGGAGGGTGCCCTCGTCCATGATCCCTCCGCGGGCGCAGTTCACCAAGCGCACAGGGCGGAGGTGCTGTCGTTCAGCAGGCCTGTCGTGGAGGGCAGGAGAAGGGTGTGCACAGTGATGAAGTCACAGAGGGGCCAGATCTCCTCCAGGGGCAGCTGCTGAATGCTGAAGGAGGCCAAGACCTCTGGTGAGATGATGGGGTCGTACCCTACAGTCTTCATCCCGAAGGACTGCATCCGGATGGCCACCTCTCTCTGATCCTTCGCAGGCCAAGAATTCCCAGGGTCTTTCCATTCAACTCGGTGCCCATGAACTTCTTTCAGTCCCATTTGCCATCCTTCATCGAAGCCGTCGCCTAGGGAATCTGCCGGGCCAGACACATGATCATCCCACGGGTGAGCTCCGCAGCACTAAGACTGTTCCCATTGGGAGTGTTCATGACCAGGATGCCCTTCCTCGTGGCGGCCTCCAGATCCATGTTGTCCACGCCAGTGCCGGCCCTGCCCACCACCTGGAGCTTCTCTGCTGCATTGATGACTTCCCCAGTCACCTTGGTGGCCGAGCAAACAATAAGGCCTTTGCAGTCCTGCAGCTCGGCTATCAGCTCCTCTTTGCTCAGGTTCTGCTTCTCCACCACCTGAAGCCCTCTATCTTGCAGGATCTTCTGGCAGCAAGGGTCCAGGCTGTCAGTGATGAGCACTTTCTGTAGATTTGCAAAGGCCATTGCTGGAGCCAGCCTCGGGATCTACCACTCTCCCTGGACAGAAACACCTCTAAGCCCCCAGATTTAGTTCTGATTGGTCAGTTTCTATGCCAGTCAGCCTCTCTGGGCCTATCAACGGGGCCTCATCAGAAAGGTGAGGCTGATCAGCAGCCCCTGTGGAGTCCTGGAGAGAAATGGAGGCCAGGCTGCTGGCCAGACTCAGAGAGAAAGAGAGAGGCAAGTGCTGGTTAAAAGCTGCCAGAGGCAACCGATCAGTCCCTGCTTCTCTCTTCAGGGCTCTCTCTGGCCCTGATTTGCAACCCACTCAGCAGTCAGTGCTGGGGCACCTCACCTAAAGCGGAAGTATTCAGCGGGTCTGGTCAAGCTTTGGTCCTAAAGGTGTTACACCCTGGCTCATTATAGAGATTCCAGCAGGCAAAGTAAGGGTGTGGTCAAAATGTTTACAATGTTCTTTCAGATTTCGAATCTACTCAATTACATGCACCTGATCAAGCTTTGTCTCCTTGCTATACCGCCTGTAGCCCATATCACTCAGCCAGGTGGGACCATAGGTTCGGACCATAAGGTCAAGCTTACAACTACAGTGGGGCCTTGACTTACGAGTTTTGTTGGGGTCCAGCCCCAGCAGGTCCAGGGGTCCCCAAAGGTGTGGACGGAGTCGGCGAAGAAGGAATGACACGGAGACAGCCTTCAGTTGATCAGCAGCCTAGTCAGGACCTCTAGCCAGGATGGACACTCGTAAGTCAAGGCCCCACTGTATAGCCTTTGGCTATAATTGTGATGGGAGGGCTTTGCCCTCCAAGCTAGGACTTGCATGTGTTTTGCCATGAGAGGCCCATGCCCTCTCATTAGTCCGAGGCTTGAACCTGTTCAAACACTGTAGCCACTCTCCACACCTGTGATTTTCACAAAGATACTATAGTAAACAGCCTCAACCTCACAGCCCCTACTTTTTTCTAGATCTCTGCTGGTTCTCTCTAAAATACTCACCACTTTAAGCATCCACTTTACAATTCCCAACACACTCAGCTCCATTCCTTGATTGCTTCTTAGGCTAGGTGATATTAAGGAAAAGTTAGCCAGCCTTCCACCAGAAATAGCCTAGGATAGCACACTTCTAAAAGGAGTAGGAGGAGGAGAAGAAGGAGGAGGAGAAAACTCTTGAGAATGCCTTCTTGCTCCCAGCTACAAATTGTATGGCATTAGTTAGGTAGTACCTGCCTTGCAAAAAATAAAAAAAAACCTTTGTGGGCTGAAAATGTTTAATTTTACTAAAGATTACTCCTAAGAGCAATTTATTGAGTCAAAGTTCTAAAGACATCTTAATTTCAGCTTGATTTCATTAAATATATATATATATGTAAAATAAATTATATTCTATGTGCTTTCTTTGCCCAGAGAAAATGAAGGTGTTCTAACTTAATGTATTTTGCTTTGAAAGAAAGATTCTTTTTTTCAGAATATATACCTCTCTGAAACCAATACAAGGGAAACCTATATTTATAATTAATTGCCTCAAGGAATTCAAGTTCATCTAATGAGAGATACAGAGTTACATGTAGAGATGAAACATGTTTTATAGCAAATATAACTGCAGGCACATTAACCAAAGTCATCCCTGATCACTCCTCAATATCCTAAGTCCCAGTAGGGAGCATTTCATCAACTAAGCCAAGGTTAAGCACCCAACATGTAAACTGCCAGGAACTGAGAATAAAATGCCTGCCCCTTGCAGCTTCTATAGAAGGTATAGTCCTACCTCCCATGAATATTTCAAAATGGGAAATTAACCTCAAATAGGGAAGTTCATCAGATGCTACGAAGTAGCAAAAGCAACAAACTATCCACTACACATTTAGGCAGCATTTTTTAATTTTTTAAAATTCTTTTTTCCTTCCAAAATTACCTTGCTGAAGCTTCAAAACCTACTCTGGGATGTAGGCATTACTGATAAAAGTATGAGGAGAATGAGACTCCATAAAGGCAAAAGTAATACAGTTTGTAAAGAAAAAATATCAACAACAACAACAACAAAAACAGATCTAGCTTTCAATTCCAGCATGTTATGCAAGGTTAATGGGAATACTTGAAGAGTACCCCTGGTCAATTTGGTTTTCGAAACAAACATAATACATCACCCTGGGAGAATCACAATTTACTGCATACAATTTAGTTTTTCCTGAATTTAACCACTGACCCCTTTCCTTGAGATATCACCCAGAATTACTGCTCTGAGAAATTAATTTTGGAAGTCTCTTGTTCTTGAGAAATTACATTTATGAATTGTTCAGTAACTACTAAAAACTAGTCCATTTTGGTCAAGTATTTTTATGGCTGAGTAGGTAGAACCAGAAGATTTTTGTCACAAAGTATTCACTAAATATTATATGACTGGTTAAAGCAGTGTTCCCATGATGCCCTGGATATCTTTTCCAAGGAGCTCTGAACACCTTTCACCATTTTTTTAATAGTAAGAATCACTGACCTAAATACTTCATCAGCTTAGTACAGAAGTTTTAATTTTAAACCTTACATGCATTATTATGCCTGCATCCATTCCATTTTGTAGGCAGCTAAGACCTTTGAGATATTGCCAAAATATTGGCTTACTTCCTAAGTGCTTCCCAACATTAAAGAAATGTTATTGAATGCCTATATCCTCTCACCGATAGCTGATTTGACTGGCTAATGTCAGTTATATAAGTAGTCTTCAATTTTTTATAC